TAATTGAAAGTTATTTTAAATTATTTTAAAAAATAAAAATAAAATTTTTAGAAGACACCAACCTATGTGCTATCCATGCCAAATAGGTAACAATTATACCAAAAGACATCCTACTATACTATGCTACCTATGTAGAGAACCTGTTAAGATCCACTGATGAGAAACATTTCATTCTCACAAAAAAAAAATTTTTTCACTTTTATAGGTAGTTCAGAGAGTTAGATCTCTTTTTTGCCATGGAGTCAAACCTACCTAAGTATATGGTTATGATTTTAAAAATTAGGGGGAAAATCAGGTATTGGCAAATTTTCTATATTTCTATTTGCATGTAAATTTTAAATATAAATATAGAAACATAAAGCATTAATGCACGATTAAAAGATTCACTAAACAAAGTTATTCATTTTAACTTCACAATAATTATAAAGACTGTTAAAATGTTCTTATTCAAAAATCATTTTTTAAATTATGACATTATAGTGTATGCACAATAATTTCTCAACACTTTCAGGTACTATATTGCTCCTGTGATCACAATACTGTGTGTTTGAATTACTAAATAAGGCTCATTTTCAACTGAGGTTTGCAGAGGAGCAATATACAGTTCATTTGTCTTTTTATCATCGGATGTAAGAAATCTTTATATATTCTAGATACTTCATGCAACAGCAGCAGAATACACATTCTTCTCAAGCTCACATGGAACATTCACCAAGACAGACCACATTCTGGACCATAAAACACAACTTAACAAATTTAAGAAAATAGAAATCATACAATGAATGCTCTCAGACCACAATGGAATGAAACTAGGAATCAGTAACAGAAAGATAGCTGGAAAATTTCAAAATATTTTCAGATTAAACCCACTCCTAAATAACATGTCAAAAATTCAATGCAATACCTTTAAAAATCTCAGAAGGATTTTTTTGTAAACAATGGCAATCTAATCCTAAAATTTTTATGGAAATGCAAAAGACCAAGAATAAACCAAACAATTTTGAAAAAAGGATAAAGTTGGAAAATTCACACTTCCCAGTTTCAAAACTGACTATAAACTATAATAATCAAGACAATATGGTACTGGCATAAGGATACACATATAGATGAATGAAACAAATTGACAGTCTAAAAATAGACCCTTAACTATGGACAACTGATTTTCAACAATGATACCAAGGCAAATCAATAGGGAAAATATTCTTTTTCAACAAATGGGAGAATTGGATATTCACATGCAACAAGATGAATCTAGACCCTTACCTCACAACATATATAAAAAACAAAGATATAAAGATGAGCTAAAATATAAAAATTTTATAAGAAAACACAGGAGAAAATATTGAAACCCATGGATTAGGAAAATCCTCCTTACATATGTCACGAAATGCACACTCTATTTTAAAAATTGATAAATTAGTTTTCCTCAAAATAAAATTTTTTGAGCTTCAATAGACATCATTGAGAAAAATGAAAACACAAGCCATAGACTAGGAGATAACATTTGCAAATCTTATAAAGGGTTTATATCCAGAATACATGAAGAACTCTTAAAACTATAATAAGAAAACAAACAATCCAATTCAACAATGAGCTAAAGAGATAGAGAAGTGACACTTCACCAAACAGGATACACAGACAGCAAATGTTAATGCTCTCTAAACCAAAGAGTACCGAGAATGTACCTGTAGTTGAACAAGTTGTGTTTATTACTTCATGCAGCAAGGGAGAACTTATATCATGGGGAATTATGGGCAGTCTCAGTAAGAGGATATTAGAGGGTCTAAGAAGGACGGTGTTTACCCTAGATCGGGTAATGTCAGAAATTAGGGGCATCACAATAAATCTTATCTATAGAGAAGGCAGACTTACAACAAGGATAAAGCTACAATTGGTAAAGAAGTAGCAGTACTCATGATACCTAAGTACCGGGATGTTTGGCATTTTATGAGTCACAGTGACCTTGTTTTTTGTGTGCTTAGACAAAGCTATGAAGTGGCTTTGCTATGTCTCACTTTATCATGGTCACAGAGTGACTCTCTCTGATGTTGGTGTTGAGATTGTTATGTCCAACAGGAGAATAACAGCCTAGCTAGCAGCACCAGGTATGCTCCTAACAATACTAAGGCCTAGCTATATTAGATCAGTTCCTGGATATCAGAGGATGCTTTTATGTTGTTATTGCTGTTAGTTCCTAAGGGCAGATGACATCAGGCCACAAAACTTTAATCCATAACTGGATTTTCACCAGATTTTGCTGATCAGAATCAGAAGAGTATCAATTAAACATAGTCTATAGTTAAATAAGAGTTAATCCTTTCTTCTCCTTTTGTTGTAGGATGACTTATTGAACCACGTGACATGACAATGGCTGTGCAGTAACATTTAAGACTCTGGACAGGATACACCAGCCAAATTGTAACACAGGTGATTATCAGAAACAAAATGACTACTAGTCCTTTTAACAAATGTCAAAGCTATGGGCCAAAGTTCTAAAACCTGGGCAATTAAATCATGTACCAGAAACCAGCTGGGTCTCTTTTAGACCTAGTGTTTTTTTTCTTCCTTTCTTTTAGGCTAGTGAAAGACTATTGTACTTGTCCTGTAGTATTTATGTAGGTATATAACAAGAAATATTTGCTATAGTACAAATTTTCTGTCGGCTAGCCAAGAGGACATCAAGGACTAATATGACTGTCAATGACAACTCTAGATAATGAATTACACCAGTTTTTTAAATTCTTATTACTATAGATCATGGATTATCTGTTGGATAAACAGTTGTAAATATCTGAAAATCTCTAATAATTACTCCAACTACACAAAATAAGTTAGTGTGCAGTAGACAAGGATGAGCCTAATGTCTACTACATAGAAGTAGTATCATAGTGAAGCATGGACTATATAGGGTGTATAAGTATCATATATTGCAACAGGAGCCAATTTTGTGTCCAAGTGGGGGGTTTTGTGGGGGGAATGAAACTGTTCTAAAATGCATGGTGTAATGGTTGCACAACTCTGTGAATAAACTAAAACTACTCCTTAATTGTACAATCTTAAGTTAGCAAATTGTACAGTATGTGAGTTATATATAAAGCTGTTATTTTAAAATAATAATGAGGTGTTCCATAGGTATTGATATGGATGTCCTAGTCTTATTGTTTCATTTAAATAATAGCATGTGGGTAACAGAAAAGCAAATAATACAGAAAAAAAACATAAAATGAACAAAAATAGGATGAACATCTATTTTTACATTTTTATATTAAAGCAATAACACACATCTGTACAATTATCAATTATATGAGTCTTTTCATCTAGTACAGCTTTGTCCCATGTTGCTCTCCAAAGGTTGGTCACCCGAATGGTATAGTACCATTCAGGTGGGGGAACAACATATAAAGAAGGTAATATTTGTAATTACATAGACAAGTGGTAAACAGTGGTGCCTTCTGTGAAAAGAGAAATGAGTGGCTGGAACAAACCAGACAGGTTTTCTTTTCTTGTTTTTTTAAACATATTTTTTAAATTGTGTACCTTGTGCATAAACTATATATTCAAAAGGGAAAACAAAGCATTATTAGTCTTACATAGAGGCTGCCCACAGTGAGCTGGGAAAGGCACTTGCAGAGCATTGGTATCAGGGTTCCCACTGGAAACAATGTGTTGAGAACATGAGGTTCTTGGGTAACCTGCCCAGAGTTCAAGATGGATGCCTGGTGGATGACCAATTCAGACAAGTGAGATGAAGTAAGCTTGTGCCCAAAACTGAAGGGCCTGCTAAGCCCCAGAAATCAGCATGAATTTTTGTGTGGGAGAGGGAAGCCATTAGAGGGTTTTAAGGAAAGGAATACAATTATTTGATTTATGACTAAGAAATCCCTCTGATTGTGTGAGGAATGTGAAGGAGCATAATTTTAGGGACCTATTTCTGTAGTCTTGGTAAGGTTGTTGGCTTGAACTATTAACATTGTAGCACTGGAATGAGATGTGGAGACAGATAAACTTTGGGAGGTCACCCTGACAGGACTTGCTGCTAAACTGAGTGTAGATTGTGGGAGAAAGAGCATAGCATGGCTAACTGCTGGGTTGGGATGCCTGTTCTTGGGATGGAGAATTCTAGTATATTGGTGGACTATGAAGGAGTAAGAAAGAGTTCACTTTGGAACACTTTAAGCTAAAGATAGTTAACTGATGCATGTTTTTCTTAAGTCACTCAGGCTGTACTGGGGAGAGTGAGGAGGAGAGGGCATCTGGGAGGCAAGTGAGGGCCCTAGGTGGGCCTCAGCAAGGACACAGAGAAACTACTCAGGGCCAAGGAACAATGCTGGGGGGATGGGGAGGGCTCCAGTGGAGACTCTCACAGATGGTCAAAGGCTTTAGCTTTTCATCAGTATGAAATAGGGAACCATAACAGGGTTTCAGGTGTGACTATAGCTGACCAAAGTCCTGCTTTGTGCAGAGCAGTGTAGTGTAGAGTTGCCAGATTAACGTAGGGAAGAAGCAAGAGAATTAAAAATGTTAATCAAGCTACATTCAGAGACTGCCATCTGCTGATCAGCCCTGCAGCCAGGCTAGAAGGACACTTGCAGAAGAAAGGAAGATTTCTACTGGGATTGCTAACAACCCATTTCCCATACCTGTGAAAGTGGAAACAGCAACAACAGAGTTTTTAAGTGGCTGCCCTACATAAATAAACTCATTCATTCTCTATGGCTAAAACCACGGAGAACCTATGTATTAAAGGTTGGGAACCGTCAGCCACTGGGCCTTTAACACTATATAGTCTTACCCTTTCACGCTATATACTCTCCCCCTTCCTCACTGTATGTCCATGGCAAAGGAAATGAGTTGACAAAGTCTTTTAAACTATAACTCACAGGAACTGAAGAATGATATATAAACTGAATTCCCAGAACATTCAGGGTCCCTCTGTCTCTCTCTCTCAGTACTCTTTACACTCTCTCTCACTCTCTTTCTCTCTCTCTCTCTGTCTGACTCTAAGAGGAGACCACACTCTGTGGAGTGTTATTCCTTTTCTAATAAACTTTCCTTTTGACTCTAACTTTGGCATGTGTGTTGAATTCTTTCTACACTCACCGCCAAAGGACCCTCTCTTCTCAAGTTGCATGGCTTGGTTCCCCTCGCCCCCGCCCCCCAACTCAGGGAAATTTGCCGTGTCCTGCATCAAGATTAGCGAATAAAAATACAGACCTTCCTGTTAAATTTGAATGGCAGAATAATTTTGTAACATAAGTATAGCCCACTAAATATTTGGGCTATACTTATGCTAAAGTGTATTCGGTGTTGGTCCGATATTCAAATTTAACTGGGCAGTCTGCTTTTGACCAGACAACCCTACCACCAGGGCGGGTGGAGGCAGGACCCCTGTATGCATTCCAGGGAGACCCAAGGGGCCGGAGGTGCAGGTGTGAGGAGAGGTCCCATAAAAGATAAGGCTGGCCCTTTTGGTGCACTTTTCCGGAGAACAGCTCTGGGAAGACAAGCTTCTCGGCTCTTGGAAGTATTAGCTGAGGTCTAATCGGGGAAGGCTTACCCGCTTCTCCTAGTCGGTTGGAGTCTGCGGCTCCTCCTTAGCCTCCCCGGGGCCAGGTAGCGGCTGGCAAAAGGCGACCCGTGGGCCAGCGCGGTAACCCCGCCTTCCGCTCCCCGCAGGGGTGGAGCCTGAGCGAGGATCCTGCGAGCAGCCTTCTCTCCCCGGGTGAGTAGTGGCAGAACATGGAGTCGGGCAAGATGGCGCCTCCCAAGAATGCTCCCAGAGATGCTTTGGTAAGTGCGAAGGATGAGAGGCGGGTCGCAAAGCTCGGCGGGGCCAGGGACCTGGGAAGCAGGCCCAGGCATGGGGCCTGATGGGCTTCTGTGCTGGCTTCAGCCCAGTCTGGGAGGCCGGGAGGGGGAGTTGTGGGTGCCCTGGACCCGAGGCGCTCTCCCGCCATCCCAGCAGCCCCGCAAGAGTGCGCAGGCCAGCTGCCGGGCTTTGTCTCCTGGGCCTCGGGTCCCGGCCACCTGGTCATCTCACCTGGTCTGCGAGCTCTGACTCTCGCGTCCGGGGTTCTGATGCTAGCTTCTCTCTTCGCCGCATCTGAAAATGACAACCAGCTGTAGCCACCCCTACTTCTGCTGAGAAAGCCAACCCGGGCCTCTTTGCCCCTGCTCCTACCCCTAGCCAAAAAAGTAAGTTTTCAGCAAAGAAGGTATGGAGGGATTTGATATGATCCTTACATTCACTTGTGAGGAAAAGGACGAGTACAAGTTTGGAGCCCAGAGAAGGGGGACCTTGTATTATAAATACTACCCTCGGTCCAGTCTTGATTTCCAGTACCTAGATTATGCATCTGGCATGTTTATTTGAATCCACAGGTGATGGCACAGATCCTGAAGGATATGGGAATTACTGAGTACGAACCAAGGGTTATAAATCAAATGTTGGAATTTGCTTTCCGTAAGTTGACAAAACACCAAAAATTTGCCTAACTTGTGAATCTGAAAAGATTGTCTTATTCTAAGAACCTTTTCAACTAAATTACTTTAACAGTTACTATCATAGAATTCAACCTAAAGCAGTAAAAAGGAGCTCAAGCTAGGGGACAGTAACATTTATACTGATATCTTTTTAAAATTTGATCGTATAGATAGGACAATTAAACATTAGAACCAAAATTCATAAACTTTCTAGAAATTAATGGAACCTTCCATTAAGAAAAATGCCCATAAATTTAAGCTGTTTTCATATGTTTAAGAAAATAATGTTTTGTTCTTAAAGGATATGTGACTACAATTCTGGATGATGCAAAAATTTATTCGAGCCATGCTAAGAAACCTAATGTTGATGCAGATGATGTGAGACTAGCAATCCAGTGCCGCGCTGACCAGTCTTTTACCTCTCCTCCTCCGAGAGATGTGAGTAAACTTTTACTTAAAGTTCATTTTACTTATAGTTTTTTTCATTGTAGTTCTAATTAGGATTTTCTTTTTTTTTTTTTAGTTTTTACTAGATATTGCAAGGCAGAAAAATCAAACCCCTTTACCTCTGATTAAGCCATATGTAGGACCCAGACTGCCACCTGACAGATACTGCTTAACAGCTCCAAACTATAAGCTGAAGTCCTTAATTAAAAAGGTAAGCATTTTTAGTCAATTTAGCTTTTTTAAAATGTAAGATGTTAGGGAAATTTGTAAAAAACAAATGCCTGTACATAGTGCAGTAAATTAAAGGCTAAGATAATTTTCTAGGATTTTTTTTTTAATTTGCTGCTTTGAAAATATCATGTCTGCAGTTAGTTGCCATGTTAAGATATAAAATATAAGACCCAAAACTTTTAGAGCTAAAAGGAACTTGTGTTCAATCTAACCCAACACTTTTTTTCCACATCAAGAAACTGAACCTAAACTTATCTGCGGAGTTAGTAGCAAAGCTAGGACAGATTCCCAGGTCTCAAAATTCATAATCTTTCCACTATACCATAGTTTTTTTGTGAAACCCAATAACATAATAAATGATATACCATTAGGAATTAGACTTGCTTTCTGAAATACGACCTAAGGCTCTCCCAGCACTGAAAAAGTTCTCCCTATATTGGGTTCCTTTTATTGTCTTAAGTTCCACTATAAGAGTTTATTTCTTTTAGGTTAAGATGTTGACTAGTTAAGATTAAAAATTATAAGGAAGTTAGCTGTTATCCCCAAATAAGACCCTACCTTCACCTAAATACTATAGAATTATATATGTACATATTTATATATACACACACTCATATCTGTTTATATATATATTTGTGAAAACCTTTGTTTAAATGTTAGATTTAGAACACTAATGGAACAAAAACAGGACATTCTTGCCATAGATTATCCGTTAATAATTCATATCAACAATACTAATTTCATTCCTGGTAAGTTTAGGTGTAAAATCTGAACAACATTAAAACTAATTTGTTTGTTAAATCCCCTAGGGACCTAACCAAGGAAGATTAGTTCCACGGTTAAGTGTTGGTGCTGTTAGTAGCAGACCTACCACTCCTACTATAGGTAAGTGAGAGAGGGAAATGCCATTTCTGGCTGGTAAAGAAGAAGTGCCTCAGCACTTGATTTTGAACTATAATACAAGTCAAAAGGTGAGTCAGAAATTCCCATATGTGTGTTGCCATCAATACATTTACTCATCCTCTAGTAAAGCTATAGACATATATTGTATCAGATTTCAAACTGAGAAAAACCACAAGGAATATCTGATCCCAAGTAAGTATAGATTACGACATTATCCAGCATTGTTGTTGGTATAAAATATGACACCAAAAACAGGAATTTAAGCTATGCAAATGAAGTTGCCAAACACTCATGGCAGTAGCCAACTTATCAGAAATTAATTTCTGAATAAATTTGCAAGAGAATGTCAAAAGGAAAGTTTAAAATGTACAAAAGCTTAAGGATATCAAAGAAAACAATCATTTTTTATACTAACCTTTTCCAAGGTAGTATTGATTGTTCTATATTGGTCAGTGGAAGCTCCTTCTTCTGTGCCTTCATCTTTGCCCCTGTCAGTCTCCATAGTTCTTTGAGCATTTCTTGCTTTCTGCCACAAGACGTTCCAAACTCATCTTATATTTTTACCCCAGTCCTAGAATCAGCCATTTCTCCAGAGCCCTGGCTCCTTTTAGTGGAGAATGGTATTTAGAAACCATTATTTGTATCTTTTTAATGTCATCGTTTGAGTAATAAGGAAAACATAAATAATGAATTTAGATTTCCTGATTTTTTTTGTCCTTC